CCACCTCTTCGTGCCTGGCCTAGAGCCTGGGGCTCGGCATTGGCAGGCACAAGGGGCGAGCCCAGTGCCAGGGCTGGAGGGGAGGACCCTTACCCAGATCTGCCCCCCAGTTAAATCCAAAGCTGCTGGCCCAGACTTAACCGGGTCTTTCCTCCATGGAAAGAAGGTCCTTCACACCAACATCCCCCTAAAGCCTGCTGGGTTCAGTGCCCTTGGGTCTGGGAAGGGAAAGCCCAGGTAGACAGTGGGATGAGGAGCAGGACTGGACTGAGGCCAGGGCTGGAGCTCTCTGTCTCCCCCTTCCCCAGCTATGGAGAAGTCTAGAAGTCTGACTGCTCCAGAAGGGGCCTGGGAGGGCCCCATCCTGCCACCACTGCTCTAAATCTTCTGGAAGTGGAGAGGATCCTGCCCCAGCTCCTGGCCTCCATCATCCCAGCCTCCTACCCTGCAAAGATTCAGGGTGAAGGAGGAGGAGAACCAGAGTCATACTGAGGGTCTCAAGACTAAGAGGAAAGGGAAAGGAAGAGATAGTAACCACTGCAGGAGATTGGTGGGCCAGTCACCCCTCAGATCTGAACTGGCTCCCTACCCGATTTTGCATCGTATCTTCCAACTCTCAGGGTTGAGTATAGAGACTTTAAAGTTAGAATGTCCAAAACTCGGGGCGCCTGGGTGGCTCAGTAATTAAGCGTCTGCCTTTGGCTCAGATCATGATCTCAGGGTCCTGGAATTGAGCCCCACATTGGGCTCCCTGCTCAGCGGGAAGCCTGCTTCTCCCTCTCCCACTCCCCCTGCTTGTGTTCCCTCTCTCTCGCTGTGTCTCTGTCAAATAAATAAATAAAATCTTTTTTAAAAAAATGTCCAAAACCCATAAGGAAGCCACCATACACCCTCTGCCTCAGTTTATCCTTCTGCAGCCCAGAATCAGCCAGATCCATTGATCATCAGAGCAAAGGGGAGTGGGCAGGAGTGTCTGGACATTTGACTGGAAAGATAGATCTCTCCCTTGCTGCCGTCCCCCAGATTTCTCATCCCAAGACCTCCAAAGGGTCCCATCCCGAGGTGCCACAGAAGGGCGCCCAGCCGCACCTGCAGCTCACACCAGGCCACCTCCACCGTGGTGTCAGTGTCCAGCCCTCGATACACCGTCTTGAACGAGCCACGTCCAATCTCGATGTCAAATTTGAGGTATCGGCCGTCCGGGGACGTTGCCACCGCCTGGGTCTCCGTATCCTCCTTTTCCTCCTGCTCCCGCTGCCGCTCCCGAGCCGCGGCTTCGGGGACTGTCGGCGGATCCCGGGGCCCCCGGCCTCCTGCAGAGCCCGCGAGCTCTGGACGCGCGGAGTCTGCAGCCTTCACGGGGTCTCCCCCGGTCCACGTGCCCTCGGGGGGCTCTGGACAGCTAGGCGGTGGGCTCCTCGCGGGGCCAGGACCAGCGGAGTCCGGAGGATCAGGGGGCTCCGGAGCGGGTGAGGTTGGATGGCACCAAGAGCTCAGCAGCCCCAAGTCGACTGAGCTGCGGCGGCTGAGACGGGAAGAGCGCGGCCGGGGCTCAGCCTTCCCGGAGAAGCGGCGCGCCCGGCGAGGAGGGGGCCCAAGGCGGGGCGGACCGGCGGCGGCGGCGAGAGGCGGCGGGGGCCGTAGGGCCAGGTCGGCCTCCGCCTGGGACATGGGGACCGCAGTCTCGGGGGTTGGGGGTGCCAGCATGAGGAAGGGCCGGCGCCGCAAGGCAGTAAGCCGGGCGGCTGGAGAGGCGGCGGCCTGACAGGCGGACCGGCTGGGTGCGCAGCGCTCTGGCTGAGCTCCTGGGGCCCCCAGTCCCCGGCTCGCCCTCCCCGCAGCCCCGCCCCG